TATCTGGCCCTGGGCTTTATCGTTTTAAACTACCCAATTTTTCTTAACCAGCTCAGAATTAATGCAGTCATCTTGTTTGATCTGGTTTCCATTTTGTTTACCCTTAATGTATTTAAAGAAATTATTACTGTTACTTTTTACATTTTCAGCCAACCTTTTCTCATACATGCTTTCTGATGTCTTAATTTCCTGTTTCACCAACGTTCTTGATTTTCTATAACCTTCTAAGTTTCCCATCATCCAGACGATATAAAATTCATAAATGTTTGATGCTTTTCTTTAATCCTATCTCTTATACTCGTTGTTTTTACTTGCAACTTCCCTTTTCTTTCTATAAGGAATATGTTTAGATTTAATTGTTACTATTGTAATGCTAGAAGTATAAGAAATACAATAGATGACTTCAGAGCACTGGTAGGAATGAAAGATTTTGATATAATGGGAATAACTGAAACATGGTTAAATGTAGATGTTTTTATGACAGAAATTTCTTTGAAATACGCGATTACATATTATTTAATAGGGATAGAGTATTCAAGAGGGGGAAAGGAATGACCTTACACGTAAAATGTGAGTTACAACCTGTTGAAGTTGAGGATATCAAAGATAGCAAGGAGATTGAATCCATTTGGGTTTCTATTAGTGGATATAAAGGGAAAATGCTTTTAGTGGGAATTTGTTACAGACTACCAGATGATACTGATGAAATTAATGAGAAACTTTATAATGAGATTAAAAACTTCAGCTGTCAATGAGGTCATAATTATGGGTGATTTTAATTTCAGCCATATAGATTGGGAAATGCTGGAGTCAAACCATGAGGGAAAAAAGGATTCGGAAACTGTCCAAGAGAGCTTTCCTTACCAATTAGTCAAGAAACCTACAAGAAACAATGCTATTGTAGATTTATTGTTAATTTCAAATATATAAATGATCGAGAGGGTGGAAATTGGGAACATCTGGGTACAAGTGATTATTGCTGTATTAGGTACAATGTTTTGCTGCATATGGAGATAAGGAATAATGATATTTTGGTTGCAAATTTAAAAAAGCAACTTTTGAAGGGATACAACAAGAACTATCTGTTGTGAACTGGGCAGCTGAGTTATTTGGATACACTGATCAATGTGGAAAATTATTAAATATTCAAGGTAAGTTAGTATGTAAGGATGAGTAGATTGGCTGGTTGGACTTGTGGGATCAGTTCAGTGGATGAAGGGAGCTTTTTGAAATGGATGGTTTACATTTAAATAGAGTATAGGATCTGGCTTGTTTGCAAGAGCTATTAACTCAGCTGTAAGAGAAGTTTTAAACTAGGACTAGACAGTGGTGAAGGTCAGGATAAACTAAATGCAAAAAACAAAACAAATGTAAAGAATAGTTTAGCATGGGAAGTAGTTCTAAAAAATTCAGCCCTAGTGACTTACTTATAACTTCATCCCCACAGTTAATTGTGGGTAGTATCCCTGACAAAATTTAGTTATGGCCTTTATCTTGAAATGCCTTTATTAACCCCTTGTACTTACTAATTAGCTCTTCTGACCTACCTTTCCCAAAAAAACCGCATCTCTGCTAGTCCTCTATATTACATCTCCTGCTCTGTCAGTTACATCCTCCACCTGTGCCCCTGGGTAGCATAATCTGATTCTTTTCTCCCTATTTACCCCCACAGACTCTCCTATCCACATGCCTTGTCAAGGAATCACTTATAACTATAACCTCCTTATCATCCACATCCTTCTCTGAACCTTTTGTTTCCTTCCCTCCAATTGTTCCTCGTCTACACTAGCCAAGGGCTGAAATATGTTGCTCAACAAACTAAATGTTATCTTATAGCGTCATCCAGGTTATTAATAAAATGTCTTTTATTTGTTGTATTCTTCGTTTATCCAAGTTATCCAAGTTCGCTTGTCTACAATTTACAATTAGATTCCTTGTTCATAACTTATGTTGGATGTTTGTGTTTTAAGCACGCTCTTTATTTACTAAGTTATCTACTTTGTTTTTGTTATATTTCAAAGTTATTAATTACTGTTTGATTTGCTCGTATTGTTTCAATTGATAATAAATGTTTATTAGCTACCTTAAAATTTACAAATATTTGTGTGACTTTAATGTTTTTACAATTATTTAGTTTTTAAAATACACTTGTTCTGTCTTCTTATAGTAACCGAATACCAAGAACAGTGGAATTGACCATTGGTATTTGAGTCAGACTCTGACTAAGAAGTCCAAATTCAAGGTGATGTTCTTGTGAAGAATAAATGTAACAGTGGAATTGAATAAATGTAACTCAAATGTAACAGTGGAATTGAAGTCCACGGTTCAAAGTACGAGTGTATTCGGCGACGGGTTTCGATCCTGCGTCTCGCAGTTGCAAGTTGAACGTGCTAACCGCCAATCCCCCTCCAGTTTAGTTAAGTTCAGTAGTACTTGGTGATACATCCTACTGATCTTCCCCTTTAGTGGAGGGTGTCCTACCTGATATAAAAACAATATTTAATACCTGCATTTGAAGCACAGTTATATACTTCGTGATTCTGAAGTTTATTGACAGGAAAATAACTGAGAAGTGGAGAGGGGTGTAGTAAAATAATTGGTAGTGGTACAGAATTAGATGTTCAGGACCTAGTGTGTTACCGTATCATTGAGGTCATTAGATGTTCAGGACTTACTGTGTGACCGTATCATTGAGGTCATTAGATGTTCTGGACTTACTGTGTGACTGTATCATTGAGGTCATTAGATGTTCAGGACTTACTGTGTGACCATATCATTG